GTGGCACTGTGGCTCAAGTGGTAGAGTGCTAGCCTTGAGCTGAAGAGCTGAGGGACAGCGTCCAGGCCCAGAGTTCAGGCCCCACAACCAGACCCAAAAAACAAAATAACAAAAGAAAAGAAACACCAGACAAATTTGAAATGAATTTGCACTCAATTTACACTGAGTTTTGAGAGTTCATAATCTGCTAAATCTCCAAGCTATCTTAATCTTATTTATAAACAATTTCTGGAGGTGGAATCTTTTCTACTTTTCAATTTTAATTCTTGGGCCCCATTAAGTTCATAAATAATTTCATAAAATACACAGAAAGAAATAAAAATATACCCACCAGAGATCCATTCATTTTCTTTTGGAGTTGGCAATACAGAAATTCTGACAGCACAGCTGGGAGAGAAGGCAAATAAAATGGAGTCAAGAAAGAACCAATGTGGCTTTATCCCAGATTTTCCTGTTCAAGACACTACATATGGATTGGATAATAATAATAATAATAACAAACCTTCTGTGGGAGAAGACCCTTTCATGTCTCAAGTAGACACATTATATTCTCCGGGAAAAATATATCCACAGTCCAGTATTTGGTAGACATTATAAATGTAGTTCATTTCTTTTTTTTGTTTTTGTTTTTTTGTTTTGTTTTGTTTTTTTGCCAGTCGTGGGGCCTAAACTCTGGGCCTGGGCACTGTCCCTCAGCTCTTCACCTCAAGGATAGTGCTCTACCACTTGAGCCACAGCGCCACTTCCAGTTTTTTCTGCTTATGTGGTGCTGAGGAATCGAACCCAGGGCCTCATGCATGCAAGGCAAGTACTCTACCACTGAGCCACTTTCCCAGCCCCTGTAGTTCATTTCTAAGGGAGGGAACAACTTATGTTTCCTCAAAAATAACTGAATAATGTAAACCAAAGAAAGACATATGATGTCTTTACTAAAATTAGGAATAACAGAAATACACTTATGAATGTATGAACTATTTTCCTATTAATGGAAAAATATCATATAGGACTCCATTGTGCATTTCACTATGCCTCCAGTTTTGCAATACTTAAGTATCATAGAAAGCATGTTTGTTAAACTCAGTATTTTACACTCATAATTATAGAGGAAAAATATACAGAATATATATTTTTCATGGTTTCCTGTTCCAATACAGTTCTCAGATGGCACATCTTCTCTATCCAGAGTAGTCTGAAGCACTCATCTAGATTATTCCATTTAACTTCCTGTGGCCAAAGGGACAACAGTGAATATGATGTGAACAAAGGCTTGGAAATTCCTTAGTGCTAGCCTTCTTTCTAATTATACTGTAAAGAACCTCAGCTAAGGGCCAACATTGCCTGGTGACAGCCAGAACGATGAATAAACCTACCCCTTACCTGAAAAGAAAAAAAAAAATAACCTCAGTTATTCTGCTGGATTATACAGGACCAAGTCAAAGGCCAGCAAAAATTACTGGTCACAGGAGTAACACCATCCTAAACCAACCATCCTCAGTAAGGAAACCAGATGAGTGAAGCCTCATCTGTTAAAAAAAGCAATACTAACAGAAATGCAGTGCTGAGCCCAGCCCAAAGTGTAGTTCCATAAACTTTAAACAAAGGAAATGGCATGTTTTTACCAGATGTGATGGTTGGCTTTATAGGAAATACTGGTAGCATGCCATAGTTCTGTGTTTTTGAACAAAATTATGTAGGAGACAAACTTTTGGAATAAAATGAAATGAACTTTCCAGTCACATGGATGATTAATGGAAATAATCATGAAAGTCACTTATGGGAATTCAGTGAGGTTGCTGTTGCTAGTAAAGGCCAAGTGATCCATTATAAAGCCATGGATGCATTTTATTTTTAACATTTTCTGGATCACATTAGAGTTTTTTTACTTTAATTTGTTATGGGATGAATAGATCAATTTATGGGACTGGAATTTTCACAGATTTCATGGAAGGGGTGATTTCTTTTTGTTTTGAATTTTGAACACCCCTACTTAAAGTTTCATATTACAGAATTTCTGTTTAAAAAATGTAATCTCCGCTTAAAAGAGAGAGTGATGTGCCAGGAACCAGTGGCTCACGCCTGTAATCCTAGCTACTCAGGAGGCTGAGATCTGAGGATCATGGTTCAAAGCCAACCCAGGGAAGAAAGTCTGTGAGACCTTTACTTCCAATACACCACCAGAAAACTCGAATTGAGCTGAAGAGCTGAGGGGCAGCACCCAGGCCCAAAGTTCAAGCCCCACAACAGAAAAAAAAAAAAAGGAAAGAAATGCAAAGTAAGTTCATTATTGTACTGTAGAATTTGTAATGTTTTAAGAACATATTAAAGTTATGAGGATAAGAAATAGGATCGTCATAGTTGAATTAAAGTATTTTGAAGCAATGTTTGTGCTACAATGACCTCAATCACCCTGCCCCCCTCCCCCCTGCAAATTTCCAAAGTGAAAAAATACTATTCTGGGCAGATTTTAAACATCTACAAACCACAAAACCTTTGTTTTATTTCACTTGTTTGTTTGTTTTTTTGGGTGGGGTCCAGTCGTGGGGCCTGAACTCTGGGCCTGGGTGCTGTCCCTCAGCTCTTCAGATCAAGGCTAGCGCTCTACCATTTGAGCCACAGTGCCACTTTCCGGCTTTTTTCTTTTTGCTTATGTGGTGCTGAGGATGGAGCCCAGGGCCTCAGGCATGCAAGGCAAGCGCTCTACCACTGAGCCACCTTCCCAGCCCCTTCATTTCTGTTTTAAGCATAAGATCCCTAACAAGCATTTCCTGAACTGCCAGAAAAACCATCAGGTAAAAGCAAGTACCGGAGTATCTCTGGATGCCACATATGTTTAAGAGAGCTTGCATTCTAGAAATGATAGTTATGTTACAGTGAATGAATGCGACTGGAATTAGGGTACTTGTAGAGAGGCAGATCCTTTCAGATCTGACAAGATGTCTCTCCACTACAAACCGTAACTTCCTATCCCCTCTGATAACTCAGCTCTGGCTCATTGCTCAGTCCAGGTCAACTCTCCCCTCTCCAAGCTGGACAGTGGTTGGGAGCTTTGGAGAAAACAGAACCACCTGAACCTTGTGCTCTGAAAACTAGAATTTCTAGGGCAAGGGAGGGTAACCAGATCTTCCCATTCTAGTGCTTCTCTGCCTCTGCTCTTTAGGGCTAGTGACAGTTCACAAGGACAGTGTTCTTTCAGGATGCACAGTCCTGTTCAGAATCTGCCCTCCTTCGAATCTGCCACACTTACTTAATTCCAAGGAATACAGGTCCATCAGCCAGTCGTGTACAAACATGTGTGAACTGGACCCAGGAGTGCTAAGAGGCTACAGCGCCCAGAAGGACTAGAAACGTCCCCACAAGAAACAGCACAGAACCCCACCAACACAACTGCCATAGCACAAGACTCGGCCAGCACACCCTTCACAACCTCACTAGAATTGTGACTCGTCCATCGTTCAGCTGGGCAAATGATGTCATCACACTGGTCCACAGCAGAATCAGGCGTGGAACAGAAGCGCAAGCCTCCCCAGCTCTCCTAGTCTGCACAACCTTCTAGCCTGCCCGCGAACCTTCCCGAGCCAGCTAGGTGCCGGCACCTGGAAGGACACTGATTCTGGCAGAACCGACTCTGACAAAGCCATCACGACCCCAGGCACAGTCACCCAGACCGGAGGGACCCGGCAGTGCGTGGAGCCTCCAGGCTACCCGCCCGGCTCCAGCTGCCGCCTGCAGCCCGTTTTCCTGCCTGCCTGCCATCCACTCACATTTCAGGTCCCCAGGTTCGCCAAGGCGCGGCGGGGCCTCTTGCCACCCCGGCTCCGGCGCTCAGAACACTGAACTTTACTTAGGAAACTTCCCAGGAGCGCGGCACAGCGCTAGGAACCGGAATTCCTGAGCGGAAAACGCCAAGAACGGGCGCGGAAGCGCATGCCCAGAAGGACCCTGAAAGAGCCCAGCCAGTGGGTCTGTGTCCGAGGAAGACTACATTTCCCATTGTGCATTGCGCCACACCGGAGGAAGTGGGCGTGTAGGGTGGTGCTCAAGAGTTTGACAGGAGGCCCTGGGCCTGCTGGGTCAGGTTGGGGACCTAACTCTCCCACCTGAGCCCGGTGAGTGCAAGTACTTCTTGGAAATACAGTTTTCCTCTGAGACATTGTGGGACCAATACAAAATTTCTAACTGTAACTGTCTTATTGAGCTTTCCAAATGAAACCTGTCAAGAATGAGTAAGGATGCTCTCCACCACTTCAACCACAGCACCAGCACTAAGGCACCCGGGCTATGTTTGGGTATGTGAAGGTTAATGCCATGGGGTTTTTGTTTTTTGTTTTTTGTCCGTCAAGACAAGCGAGCTCTACCACTGGAGCCACAGCACCACTTCCCGTTTTCTGGTGGCTCATCAGAGATAAGAGATTCATGGACTTTCCTGCCGGGGCTGATGTTAAACCACGATCTTCAGATCTCAGCCTCCAGAGTAGCTAGGATTACGGGCGTGAGCCACGGACAATCAGCCCAGGAGATTCTTATCTCCAATTAACCTCCAGAAAATCAGAAGTGGTACTGTGGCTCAAAGTGATACAGAATTAGCCTTGAGGAAAAAGAAAAAACTAAAATTATACTATCAATAGCTATGTCATAAACACCAAGCTTGACGCCCCTTGTCACAGAACTGAGCTAAAACTACTGAACTTTGTGGTGACTATAGAAATGGCAAACCACAAGGTGTTACTCCACAAAGAACCCTTAGTACCTCCCTAGAATCCACCCAGATATCAGATCATCTGTCAGACAAGAACCATACCATCTTCTCTTGGTGAATCTTTTCAACTCATCAACTTTGAGGGTCACACAGTTGAACAACAGATTATTAACTTCCCACTGAAGACAACACCTCTAAAGTGTAGATTATGACAACAATTGCCTGGCTTGCTTCAAAAACTTTCTGGAGCCGAGTGCTGGTGGCTCATTCCTGTAATCCTAGCTACTCAGGAGGCTGAGATCTGAGGATTGCAGTTCAAAGCCAGCCCAGGCAGGAAAGTCCATGAGACTCTTTATCTCCAATAAACTACTCAGAAAACCGGAAGTGGTGCTGTGGCTTAAGCAGTAGAGCACTATCCCTTGAGCTAAAGAGCTGTAGGACAGTGCCCAGGCCCAGAGTTCAAGCTCCACAACCAACCAAAAAAAAAAAAAAAAACTTTTCTGAAAGCCATTTTCTCTAAAAATACTGAGTTTTGAATGGAAGCTATGGATATCTGGTGGATGGTTAAAGTGAAATAAAAGCCTTGCAAACTCCATCTTCATCTCAAAAATAAAAATAAAAATCTCTTTTTTTTGTCAGTTGTGGGGCTTCAACTCTGGGCCTGAGCACTGTTTCTCAGCTCTTC